GGCGACTCATGGAATCTGTGTTAATCAAATACTCAAGAAGCCCCAATAACGAGCCTTTTCATCTAATGGAGAGGGAGCATTGGACACGGTCGTCCTCCATTGTTACTAAAAAAACAGACATAGCCCCACCCAAAAGGGGCAGTATCGCAACAGCAAGAACTACAGACCATAGCATCTAAACACCCATATCATACAAAATCTGTTGAAAGGTCCTAAGAAGCAAAAGATCACCACCCATCAGTAAACCCATCAGTTACAAACCCCGGCAACAGGGTTTAAGAACAGTCGCTCCTGTCTGTCCAACTATGATCAATACGACAAGGTCCTAAATGCAACTAGAAGACAAAAAAAGCAGAGTTAATATATACAGACTATGCAAAGCCTTCGACAAGTGTACCAATGCGTAATAGCAGCACAAAATGCGCGCTCAAAGAATAACAGATAAGTTTGCGATGGATCTATAATCTTCTCACTAACAGAAACACAGAGAGTATATCAACAGATAAAGTCCGAGAGCACGACGGGAAAATGCTCTGTTCCACAAGCACAGTACTAGCTCCCATCTTGTTCACTCACTTCTCATATCCGACATAGCAGTGTCAGCCACAGCACCGTGTCTTCCCCTTTGCAGATGACACCCGAATTGCATGACAGTGTCTTCATGCAGCACTGAAAGGCTCCAGGCGGGCATCAACCAAATCTTTCATGGGTGCAAAAAAACAATATGAAATTCAACGTGAGAAATTTCAATTACTCAATTTTGGTAAACAGAGGAAATTAAATCTTCAGAGTACAAAACAAATTCTGGCCACAAAAAAGGCGAAACACCAACGTCAAAGAACCTGGGAGTGATTATGCGGAGGATCTCACCTTCAAGGACCAAAAACATTGTATCAATCGCAAATTTCCTAGAAAAATGACAGGTGGATAATGGAACCTTCAAAACTAGGGAAAAACCCCATATGACACCTTCAGGACTTTTCTATCTGGGTGGAAAATTGCTGCACTCTAAACACCTTTCAAGGAGGTGAATTCCCACCTAGAAATGTACAGAAACTTTCACGGCCGCATAACGAATAAAACCCTAATTACTGGGAGCGTTTAGGTTTCTAAACCCGTATTTCCCCCAAACCCGGAGGGAGAATTTCATGATTTATACACCGGAAATCCCCGAGGGGCGTCCGACTTTCACACGAAAAATCACTCACTACGAAAGAAAAGATTGGGAGACGAGCACCCCCCCCAATGAAAAGGGGGTGTCATACACGTTAAGGACCTTTTCAATAAATTCAGGGGGCCGAAATGTTAAATGCCTCCCACACACATAAGGGGATTACCAACAAACCCCCGGCATCTTCAAGCTGGACTGGACAACACCTAAATCGTTCCTGATACCGGGGTGTGGCTCACTTGGTTTTCGTGCAGCCGCAGCAACGCCTGGTTTCAGGCCTGATCCACCCGGGGCCTGGGCCCCCAACCGGGGCCCCGGGGGGGTTTACCCCCCCAAACCTCTCCCGGGAAACCCAGGGAAATCACCAGACCACGTTGGCACTCAACCATCATCACCAGGACCCAGTTTGGTCAATCGCCATTTCCAAGGGCACTGTTGTCACCCGGCCATTACTCACCAAAACCCCCTTTGGGACCAGCCATTACTCACCAGGGCCACATTTTTTCACTCACCCTTACTACCAGGGCCCCATGTTGGTCATCGGGTCATTACTCCCAGACCACATTTGGACTCAACTCATAAATCACCGGACCCAGTTGGGACTCGTTTTATTACTCACCGGGCCCCATTTTCACCAGGCTCATTTCTCACCGGACCAATGTTTTGGGCATGACTCCAATCACCGACCCATTTTGGTCCTCGGCCATTACTCACCCGGGGCCCCGTTGTCATGGCTCATTACTCACCAACACCCCGTTTGGGCCCTCAGGGCCCTACTCCCGGGCCAAGTTGGTCACTCAGGTCATTACTCACCAGGCCCCCTTTTGGGCACTCAGGCTCTTATCACCAGGGCCACAGTTTACTCAGACCATCAACCCCCGGCCACATGTTGGTCACTCAGGGTCATTTCTCACCAGGGCCACATGTTGGTCACTCAGGCTCATTACTCACCAACACCACATGTTGGTCACTCAGGCTCGTCACTCACCAACACCACATGTTGGTCACTCAGGCTCATCACTCACCAACACCACATGTTGGTCACTCAGGCTCATTACTCACCAACACCACATGTTGGTCACTCAGGCTCATTACTCACCAACACCACATATTGGTCACTCAGGCTCATTACTCACCAACACCACATGTTGGTCACTCACCAACACCACATGTTGGTCACTCAGGCTCATTACTCACCAACACCACATGTTGGTCACTCAGGCTCATTACTCACCAACACCACATGTTGGCCCACTCAGGCTCATTACTCCCCAACACCACATGTTGGTCATTTCAGGCTCATTACTCCCAACCCCACATTTGGTCACTCAGGCTCATTACTCACCAACACCACATGTTGGTCACTCGGCTCATCACTCACCAACACCACATGTTGGTCCTCGGGCTCATCACTCACCGGGCCCACATGTTGGTCACTCAGACTCATTACTCACCAGGGCACATGTTGGTCACTCAGGCTCATCACTCCCAGGACCACATTTTGGTCATCAGGCTCATCACTCGCCAGGACCACTTGTTGGTAAACTCAGGCTCATCACTCACCGGACCACATGGTGGTCACTCAGGCCATCCTCCCCAAAAACCCACATTTTGGTCACTCAGGCTCATTACTCACCAACACCACATGTTGGTCACTCAGGCTCATTACTCACCAACACCACATGTTGGTCACTCAGGCTCATTACTCACCAACACCACATGTTGGTCACTCACCAACACCACATGTTGGTCACTCAGGCTCATTACTCACCAACACCACATGTTGGTCACTCAGGCTCATTACTCACCAACACCACATGTTGGTCACTCAGGCTCATTACTCACCAACACCACATGTTGGTCACTCAGGCTCATTACTCACCACACCAACATGTTGGTCACTCAGGCTCATTACTCATCAACCCCAAACATGTGGTCACTCAGGCTCATCACTCACCAACACCACATGTTGGTCACTCAGGCTCATCACTCACCAGGGCCACTTGTTGGTCACTCAGACTCATTACTCACCAGGACCACATGTTGGTCACTCAGGCTCATCACTCGCCAGGACCACATGTTGGTCACTCAGGCTCATCACTCACCGGGGCCACATGTTGGTCACTCAGGCTCATCACTCGCCAGGACCACATGTTGGTCACGTTATTAAAGAATCTTCACATCTCAGTTACGTGACTTAGATTTTAAAATAAATTTTAAGATTTATCTGCCTCTAGTCACAGCCTTGGTACCTGTCCTCTAGTCACAGCCCTGGTACATATCCTTTAGTCACAGCCCTGGTACCTGCCCTCTAGTCACAGCCCTGGTACCTGTCCTCTAGTCACAGCCTTGGTACCTGTCCTCTAGTCACAGTCCTGGTACCTGTCCTCTAGTCACAGCCCTGGTACATATCCTTTAGTCACAGCCCTGGTACCTGCCCTCTAGTCACAGCCCTGGTACCTGTCCTCTAGTCACAGTCCTGGTGCCTGTCCTCTAGTCACAGCCCCGGTGCCAATCTTTCCTCAGATGACCCCTATCCTTCCTTCCCTCCACCTCAAATTTATAAACCCTCCTAGTCATCCTATTTTGCCCTATCCTTTCAAAGTGCCTAAATCATCTCAACAACCCCTCGTCAGCAAAAGTACAATAATATCAATGACTGTAAATTCACAAAGACTGTGTAAATGAAAAAAATTCACAAATGGAATGAAGGATGATGGAGCATAATGTATTTAAATGTCAAGTAATGGAAATAAGGGAAAAATTAACAGGCTACATGAAGAATGTAGATTGTGATTAATACTGAAACAATTTAAGAAAGACATCTAAGAAAAATCAGGCAAAGGATTTTCACTACAAAATAACAAAGCAAGTGTGAGAAATGTTTACAAAAAAAATTTTTAAAACAGCACCATGTAGGGGAGGGTAAAAAAAAACTTAAAAAAAAAATCTTCACAAGAATGTTGGGCCATAATTGTAATATACGAGAAGTGGGGTGTCCACAGCAAAAAAAAAAAAAAAAAAAAAAAAAAAACATAGTAAGACTGTAGCATACCTTTGCATTTTCTAAGTGGTTCCTACAACAAAAACGATACCAAATAAAAGCACTAAAGGTGCTTTTACCTAAAATACTGTAAAAATTGAAAACAAAAATTAACAACAGATCATAAATGGAGTTAGAAAACAAATGAAGTTTTTTAAGCACCAAAAAAAGGGAACTTAAAATTGCAAAAAAGGGAAAAAAAAAGATTTCATGAAACACTGTGAAAAACCCATCCCAATTATGAAAAATTACAAACGGGCACATGTAAACCATTCACTCTTTATTAAACAAAGAATCTCCTCAACAAGTTAAGGTTGAGCTATAGAATTGTATATTTTTTTAAACCGAATCATTTTGTGATTTGTGCCCAAATTTGGAAAAAAAATAACCACACTGAGGAGAATTTGTATACAGGGTACCTAACAGTGTGAGTTTTCCGCAAAAAAAGTCTGTAATTTGCTAAATTTTTTCTCAAAAAAGCACCCTTAAACCATATTAGAAACATCATCCAACAAGTTACTCTAGCAAAACAATTTCTAGCTTGCATTCAATGAAACTTCCAAAACATCTGCTATTAAGCAATGTTTATAGTTGGTATAATTATGTTCATCTGTTGTCACCCAGTGTGTGGTAATGGGGAAAAAAAATTTTTGGTCCCCAAATGGCAAAAAAAAAACGCACTTAAAAATGGGAGGGCGAGGGAAACAAAAAAAATTAGCATCCCCCAGCTGGGTATTTTTTTTTTCAATCCCCCTACCCAAAAATACTTTTTATTCAATACTTTACCTGTTGTGGGCCTTTCAATACGGTCTGCGTCTTTCCCTTTGGAAAACGTTTTTATAAAACTTGAGATTTCCTTAATGCAGTGTACAGGCTCCAAGACTAATTTTCCCCCGGGCCATAATTTTCCAGTGAGCTTTCCTAAAGTCCAGTCAAAAAATGTTTAAGCGCACAAAAGTTGTGTGCGATTCCCCTAAAATATGGGTTAAAAAAAAAACCTTAAAATAAATGATTATCAGTATGTTTACATGGAACCCTTTGGGTTTTACTCGAACTTAAAATTCCAGGGGGCTGTTCAAGTCCAATCTGTTCAAGTACTGAACAAATTTTTTCCAAACAATTTTTTTTAAGTTCACTGTTTTGCTAATCTTTTTAGGGGCCCCTGGGGACTTTTTCATACAAAAAATATACAAAATGGAAGAAACACGAAAAGTTTACAGCGAAGTTTTGGCAGGGGTTTTTATTTGGCCCAGTGCCCAGCAAATGTTGACTACCGAGTGTTTGTTTACCAAACAAAGCTTCAAATAACGAACTGTTTGAAATACCGGGTTCCACTCATACACAAATACTTAAAAATCTGAACACATTTTTTAAAAACAAACAAATTTTAATCCATGGTAATTTAAGAACATTTAGCCCCCCAAAAAATTAAAGAAAGACTTCTATTAGAGAAAAATACTCTAATTCCCTTCTGTTCCCCAATACCGTTTTAATAGCAGTTCTTGGTATCAGATCAAATTTTTTTTCACTTTTGTTGAAGTGAGGTTTTCACTATTTGTGATACTGGTAAAACAAAAATTTTGTAAGGAGTGCTGGAAATTTGACTCAATGATTTCATTAACCCTGAAATGTTTCCAATGTAGATATAATTTCTTGCGTAGCCTCGAAAAGTAGATCAACGTTTTTTTTTTCATTCTTCAAAATTGGGGCAATAGGCTGGTGCCCAACATGAGAGAATTTTTTCTTAACACTCGGGGTGCCAGTATTAAAAAAAAACTGGGGCCCCTTAGTACCTTTTGGGAGCCCTTCAACGGGCCAGCTAGAGCAAAAAAGCACGGCAAACACCAGGGATTCACTGATGTCATGTCGCATTAACACTCCCCTTTTAAGAGGAAAGTAAAAATAGGTGAGATAAATACATGAGTGGGTGTGGGTGGGTGTGAGTTGGACCTGACTAGCTTGTGCTACTAGGTCTGATACTGTGCTCCTTCCATCAATGGATGTGACCTAACTAGGTGGGTCATTGGTCTAAGCCAGGGGGTGACATGGACCTGCCTTGCATGGGCCAGTAGGCCCATGCAGTGATCCTTCTTATGTATTCAGCAGGCTGGCCAGCTGGACAGATTTGGCTGTCTCTGGCAGTCTCTCTGTCTATATCTCTGTCTCTCTCTCACATGTACACATAAGTACAGTTACTATACATAGTGTAAATTATGTAGGATAACCCAAAAATTTCAGGCAATGTGCTATACTGTACTTGTAGATTTTTTTTTTTTTAACACATTGGCTGATTCCCACCAAGGTAGGGTGGCCCGAAAAAGAAAAACTTTCATCATCATTCACTCCATCACTGTCTTGCCAGAGGGGTGCTGTACACTACAGTTATAAAACTGCAACATTAACACCCCTCCTTCAGAGTGCAGACACTGTACTTCCCATCTTCAGGACTCAAGTCCTGCCTGCCGGTTTCCCTGAATCCCTTCATAAATGTTACTTTGCTCACACTCCAACAGCACGTCAAGTATTAAAAACCATTTGTCTCCATTCACTCCTATCAAATATGCTCATGCATGCTTGCTGGAAGCCCAAGCCCCTCACACACAAAACCTTCTTTACCCCCTCCCTCCAACCTTTCCTAGGCCGACCCCTACCCTGTCTTCCCTCCACTACAGATTTATACGCTCTCGAAGTCATTCTGTTTTGTTCCATTCTCTCTACATGTCCGAACCACCTCAACAACCCCTCCTCAGCCCTCTGGATAATAGTTTTGGTAATCCTGCATCTCCTCCTTATTTCTAAACTACGAATTCTCTGCATTATATTCACACCACACATTGCCCTCAGACATGACATCTCCACTGCCTCCAGCCTTCTCCTCATTGCAACATTCATCACCCATGCTTCACACCCATATAGGAGTGTTGGTATAACTATACTCTCATACATTCCCCTCTTTGCTTTGCTTCCACACAATCTATTCTTCAGTGGCAGCGGCAGCAGCGACCTCCAAGCTCCGTACTTTTCTCCAACTATCAGAGCCACCAGTGCTCCTATGATGACCTAGTTACAAGCAAAACTGCACACCCAACGTAGCACCCAGAATGACCAAAGATTACCAACAGTGAAACCTACAAATCGAAAATAATAGAGATCAAAGGAAGACTGCCCACAAACCGAAAGCAACACCCCACTGCCAGCCGAACAACATAACCCTAAGCTTTGTATAACTACAACTTCTTCTTAACTACAACAATTCCTGTAGTATTATGAGGTGCAATCTAAGAGGAAACAGCACCAAGGCCAGCAAGAAAACACTGAAAAATCAACTATTCAAACAAGTAGCCAGGAGGACCCACCACAGCACACACCCCACTCACCACCAGGCCCAGGCACACCACAAACAATAACAACAAACATGGCTGCCACCACTCCACCCCTCTTCCCCGATCAACCTACCAAGTAGTCTCCAGGTATGACCAACGATCAGATACCCTAAGTCATGCCATCTCCAACTTAGTTATGAAAATATGAATCTTTAAGAAGACACTAACAAAACAAGACACCAGGATGACACAACTCGGAGCACACAACAAAAAATCCTCAGTACAATGAAACAAAAGTTATCAACACTCAGGAAAATAACAATGTGACAAGACCCAATCCAGACAGTCCCCTAAGAGACAAACTCAACAAAATACTCATATATACAAGGTGAAGAAGCAGTAAAAAGAATGGAAGAACAACTTAAATAACCTGTTCAGGTGGACTACTTTGCTCTCAAGAAAGATAAAACTGAACAAGATAAACTATCGGACGCAGTAATAGTTAACAGTCCACTTTTTCCTAGTGATATGAACCAAACAAACAGTAAAGAAATTACTCTGCAGATCATAAAGGACCAAACAAGTGTTATTGTACCAGAGTCAGAAATAAAAGAAGCCAGGTTACTAGGATCCCATGGTAGAAAAAGTGTTATGCTTAGATTCCACTCACATGACATGAAAAAAGACTTAATTATTGCATCTATTAAAGTAAAGAAAGATGTATACATAAACAAGTGTCTTACCAAAAAATGTCAGAACCTCCTGTATAGAGTCAGAAAATTTAAGCGGGAGAATAATGACAAAATACACCAATGCTTCACACGGGATGGGAAAATTCAAGTTAGGAAAACAAATGTAGGTCAACTGTACACAATCACGAACGAGAATGATCTATCACGATTTCTCAGGGATACTGATCTTACAGAGAATAACTAAATGTCCAACCTAAAAGCCTACGTAATGTAGTGTATGTTTTGCTCCATTATTGTTCAAATTTCGTAGTACAATCTCTTAGTAATTAAATAATCAACTACCTCATTTTGTGACTTTACTAGTAAGCATAAGTCACCTTATCTAATCTTCTTTACAAATGTTTGCTTAAATATTAGCTGAATTGATACTTTCTCTGCCCATATTACTACCTCATATTTTTTTAAATACTATCAATTGATATTACTTACTAAAATTAATAATTACCATTTTTACTATCAATACAATTTACTCTTAACATTTTTGACATCATTTAATAACCATTACTTGTCTAATTACCTTAACCTTACCTTAACTTGTTTTGTAATCATTATTACTTACTAAAATTTTATTAAACACCATATTTACTACCAGTCAATTTTACTTTTGTACATTAATCATTATTTTATACTTCCCATAACATTTTGTTGCCAAATTTCCAAGTTTGTATATTCAACTCCAACCTTTATATTATCCTTTGTACCTGTGTACCTGTCTACCATCTTACTATCATATTATAACCAAGACATTGCCATTGTTATTTTTTACTTATTATTCTTTTGGTACTTTAATTTGTGAATTTTATTTTGCCAATTTAAATCTAGTTATACTCTTGATCTTGTTAACAACCTATACCAGACCCTAGTGCAATTGCAAGTACCATTTCAATTTGTATTTTTATATAAGTTTATATTATAAGTCCTACTCTAAGATTGTTTTCATATCTTAGTGACTATATTGTATGTGCAATTAGTGTATATTTCAATTATATTATTGTTCAAGGCCCTTAACTATCTTTTGCTAACTAGTACCAATTCTTTTGCTACCTTAACATTTAAATTTAGTTATACTCTAATTCTTGTAAACAACTTATATAACACCTTAGTGCAATTACAACTGAGAGTCTTGTGCCTTTTTTATATCATTAGATTAAACTCAGTTGTACTATAGCTCATTCTAGCTCAATACATAGTCAATACCAAATTCATTATATTAGACCATAGTGCAATTACTAGTGAGAGTCTGGTGCTATTTTTAATTTGTATTTTTATATTATTAGATTAAACCTAGTTGTACTATAGCTCATTCTAGCTCAATACATAGACTATACCAAAGTCATTATATTAGACCTTAGTGCAATTACAAGTGAGAGTTTTGTGCTATTTTTAATGTTTTTTTTTATATTATTAGTTTATACCTAGTTGTACTTTAGCTCATTCCAGCTCAACACATAGACAACACCAACTCCATTATGTGTATTAGTGACTATACTCTACATGACCAAAATGCTATAGCTATATACTTGTCCAAACTTCCCACCACTACAGATATCAGTACTAAAACTCAACACACAACTCAGGATATAAATAACTATAATTTAAACCTAGAAGATGATTGATCACGTTGACCCTGATCTAAACCTCCATAATCTGACACACAATCAAAACCTATTGGAAAGTAACTGCCTTTACTACACAGCATCACAAGCCAGCACTATCCTAAACAATGCTAAAAGTCTATCAGTACTTAACTACAACATCAGGTCCTTAAGCAAACACTATGATGACCTCCTGGCACTCCTTGAATCACTAAAGACACCCTTCTCCTGCATTATTCTTACTGA